GTTTGGGGAGCAGTGCCACGGGGGGAGGGAGCGGCGAAGGGAGCAAGGCTTGGCGCCGGGGTGAAGGGCGAGCAGCGAGGAGGAGAAGGAGGAGGACGAGGGGGGAGGAAGGCTCTGGCTGCAGCCCGGCCAGAGGGGCTGAGCCCAGGGGTGGGGACAGGGCCAGGAGCCGGGGAACGAGGGGACCCGCTCGTCCTCGGGGCGGGGGGGGCCGGAGCCGCCATTCGGCCAGGCAGACGCCAGGTTAGCCCTGCTGCAAAATGTCCACAAACACCGTAAAAAAGCCAAAAAAAAAAAAAATTGTAAAACGGAGGAAAAAATAAAAAGAGCAGAAGCGGTGGTGGCGGGGGGACAGGGGAGAGCGGCGGGGGAGCCCTCGTCGTGCCAAAGCCCCCCCCGGCCTCGTCCCACCACACCAGGATCCGGCCCCACGGCACGACCCACCCGGGGCTGCCACCCCCACCCACGGGTGCACCCCGGGGCACGGCACGGCTCGCAGGTGGCTGCAAAGCTCAGCTTCCCCTTTGGGGGCAGAAAAGTGGAATTTAGGTGCTTTCTCCCACCTGGCCCACACAAACTAAAGCTGGACCCAGACCTCAGGCAGAGGAAGGGCTCGGGGAACGCTGGGCTCCTTTAGGCTTTTCCTTGCACCTTCCTTGCACCGCCAGCCCAAATTTCGCTACAGCCCAGCGACACCCACTGCGAGCCGGCAAGGGACCCGCAGGAAAAATCCCCGAAGGCCGCACGGTTCCCACGGGGCTGGCAGGATGGGGATGTTGCGGTGGCCGTAGGGATGCTGAGCATCCTCTCCTCCCGCTGCTCCCGGGATGCTGCTCCTCTCCCAGGGATGCTGAGCATCCTCTCCTCCCACTGCCTCTGGTGCTGCAGTGGGGTTGTTTTGCTGCTGGATTCACACCTGGGGATGCCTGGGTTGGGGACACGGAGGTGCCGGTGGCCTTACCTTGTCCGCTCGGCTCCCGGGGGGAAGCCAAAGCTGGTGGGAGGTGGGGAAGGGGTAGCTGAAATATCCGGCGATTGCTCAGGAATGGGTGAGTGGGGGGTGGCGGGGAGCTCGGCGGGCGGCGCGGGGGGCTGAGCGGCCGGTGGGGTGGAAGACGTCTTGCGCACCACTGAGGTGCCTCGGCGAGCCACCCACGAGGTGTCCATCACCCTGACGCCCATGCTGGAGGGACACAGAGACAGGCTCTTAGCACCCACCCGGCAGGAGGGGACCACCGGCACCGCGTCGCGGCTCCTTTGGGGTGCCTGGTCCCTAAAAATGCCTCTTCCATCGGGAAGCTGCTGGGAATGAACCTCCATGGCAGTAGGGCAGGAGTGGCTGTGGGATGCGCTTGTGTCACCCACCGGCCACCTCTCCCTTCCCCAGGTACCAGCAGGCACCAGCACCCTCCCAGCATCCTCCCAGCAACCACCCAGCATCCTCCCAGCATCGCTTCAGAGGATACACTACCTTTGGATTTTCCTAAGGCTGCATGGGCAGAAACACACGATTATTAGTGCAAAAAAACCCCTAAAACTCAATAGTGCACAGGGTGCAGTGCCTGCTGCTCAAAAAAGGAGCCGTGAGGTTAAGGGCTTCGAAAGAGGGGGCAGGAGGGGCACAGCGGGGACCAGGCTACACTGTGATGGGGAGAGCTCGGGATGATTTTTGGAGATGGGGAGAGCCCTGGGGACATTTTTGGGGGATGGGGAAAGCCCTGGGGGTGTTTTCTGGAGCCGACCTGACTGGCTACAGTCCCTGTGAGGTGGCACTGGGGGGGGAGGCATGCACAGGCTGGGAGTGGGGAGCTTTCCCCTGGAGCAGAGCCCACACACTTTGGGGACACCCGGGCACCTGACCCCATCGTGGCACAGTCCCCGTGCCACACCACGGGCCACCCCACTCACATCTCCAGCAGGCTGGGGGAAGGCATCAAACCTGAGCTCACCTGAGCACCCCCAAGAGCCCAGCATGGAGAGCAGGGGGTCCTCCCACCCCAGGAACACCCAACCTCCACCAGCTCAGTGTCACAAACCCCCGCAGGATGATGGCAATATCACCACCTCCCTCTCCCCAAACCCTGACACTGCAAAGACCCTACCCATCCTTCTTGTAAAACTCCAGCATCATGTTGTCCGTGGCCACGCTGAGGGGCCGCCGTGCCTGGTCGTGCTGCCGGCGGTCCGCGTGGTCCATGTCCGGGGAGGGCATGGAGCTGTAGTTGGCATTGTGGTTGACGTGCATGGGGCTGCCGTAGTTGCCTGTCACATTGAACTCGATGTCTGGGACAGGGGGGAAGGAGAAGGGGGAGGACATGGGGTTGTGTGTCCTCAGCGAGAGGTGGGATGGGGCACTGGCACTGCAGGAATGCTCAAGGGTCCTGGAGTGGCTGGGTTGGGCTCACTGCTGTGATGAGTCTTGCCACATCTCTGCCTGAGCTCCCCTGCCCCGGTCCAAGCCAAGGCAAGTGGAGGAGGCCAGCAAAATAAATATGGGAGCTCAGCACCCCATTCCCCAGGGTGGGCTGGGAGGTCCCACAAAGCCCATCCCACCCCACCATGGCTGTGGGGCACAGCCTACCTCCGGGGAAGAACCAGTCGGCATGCTGGATGAGCGGCTCGATGATCCCCACGATCTGCAGCGAGACAGTCGTCATCATCTCCGTCATGTTCCTGCAAGGCGGCGGGCAGCGGCTCAGCAACGCCACCGCCGCCCGGCCTTATTCCTAGAGGGATTTTGGCCCCGGACCCCCCTCACCCCCTTCCACAGCATCCCTCTGCCATGCTCGCTTTCCACCCGGATACCTTACCCATCCGCCTGCGGCCAGAGGAGGTTGGGCCCCAGCACGATGGCCACGTTGCTCGGCGTCATTTTATTCGTGTCCTGGTACTCAGTCAGCTTAGCCAGGAATTTAATCAGGTACCTGGAAAGCAGAGCCAAGCCGTGTTGGTGTATCGGGATCCCACCCTCTCCGTCCCCTCCCCGGGTCCTCCTGGCCCCGGGCTCACCTGATGTTGTTGTAGTTGGCTTTGGGCAGCTTCTCGCAGGCGCTCCAGAGAGCCTGCAGCCGCTTCTCCTGCTCCGGGATGCTGCGGGGAGGCGGGCGAGAGGGTTATCCCCCCTCCCCACCCCAGGGCTTTCCACCCCACCAGCTCTGCCCTCGGGGACCCTGCGAGACCCTCGGGCTGCTGCCAATATTATATAAGTAAATTAACCCCAAAAGCCTGGCCAAAATGAGAAGGAAACCTGTTGGCGGCAGGTTGGATGCTGGTCCTCTCTCCACCTCTGTGCAGCCCCCCCAAGGTTTGTGTTTTGGGGGTGTTTGCTTCGGAAGGGGAAATTACTGCAAACAGCCCCCCAAAACAACAGCCCGCTCCCTCCCGTGCCACCCTTGGGGACCATCCCCTCCAGCAAGCCACCGCCACGTCCCTTCTGTACTCCAATGTTCCCAGGGCAGGTAGGGGACATGGTCAGACCTTTATTCAGGCATCACCGAGGTGGTTCCCACCCCAAAAGGAGATGCTCCTTCTCCCAACTCCCTCTGCCTCTCATCCCCCTACCCCAAACACCTCCCATGGTGGAGCAGGCAGGCTGCTGCCACCTCAGCTGGCCCAATCCTGCTGGGTTTGGGGGTTCCACGGTGCAGAGCACACCAGCAATGCAGGTGGGAGCTCCCTCGGCCAGCTGTTCCCCTGGGGTTTGCACACCTGTCCAGAAATGGCACCAATGCCCGGCACCCAAGGGCTTGTTGAAAGATGCTGGGTGCTCTGGACCACACTGGAGACATCAGGGTCAGGGGACATCAGGACCACCCTCACTGCTGGGACCCGTGATTCTCAAGGATTATCACGGGAACCCTCCTGGCTCTCAGACCCTGGAGGCAACACCCCAAATGCTGTGATCCACGTCAGAAATAACTCATGACCCCCAAACCATCCATGGGGACCCAAGATGCCACCATCTGTGCCACAGAGGAATGGGGAGGATGCTCCAAACTCACTTGGAGGCCTGGATCCACTCCTCATACAGCTCGAACGTCATGAGCGGCTCTGGCAGCTCTCGCAGGTAGGACTTGAGGGCTCCTGTGGCACACAAGGGACACGGGGCTCAGCACCGCAGGAGGTGCCACAGGTGGCACCAGCCACCAGGCACAGAGCCATTTCCCTCCTCGGCAGTTTGACTCGCGTCCCTCCCAACCTCCCCACCAATGCACCTCAAAGCACCCATTAGTCCCTCCAGCTTGGTGAAGCCCGTACCTTCCCCTGACCCCCAGCAACCACCTTGCCACCTCCACCTAGTCCCTCCTAGCACCTCCCCAATTCCTTCCACCATTTTTGCCTCCATCAAGTGTTCACCCAGCTCTCCGTCACTCGTTTTTGCCTAGGACATTCACAGCTCCTTGTGCCGGGAAAAGGTTCCCATTGCAGTCAATAGGAAACCAGGGTCCAATCCTGCGCTCGCCAGAGAGCCCAGCCCAGGAGAAGAGCAGCTGATGGGCATTTAACCCCAATTAATGGTTAATAGCGGCCCCACGGGTTTGGATCTGTGCTTGGAGAGGATCTTCACCCCAGAAGAGGTAGAGAGACGATGGCAAGCTTGATGATGACATGTGTGAATCCTCCCGACTGCTCCTTGCTCCTGCAGAGCCTCTCCTGATCAGCATCACCCACATTAGTGTCACCAGGGCCCTGCCACTGCCTTGGATTATGATTGCATCCCTGCTTTCTACCTTGCCTGTGACTATAAGTGCTGCTTGAGCCTTTGGCCGGGGAGGGGACATGTGGGTTGAGGTTTGTGCTCCTTGGTGGATGGCAACTCCTAAATGCCCCCACTTCCACCAAATGCTGTATTTCTGCACCTGCATTTGTCACCCTGTATATTCTGTCTTTGCTTTTCAAAGGCTTTGGGGCAAATCACAGAAGGGTTGAGGTTGGAAGGGACCTCTGGAGGTCATCTGTTCCAACTCCTGCTCCAGCAGGACCACCAGAGCTGGTTGCCCATGACTGTGTCCTGATGGCTTTTGAGTATCTCCAAGGATGGAGACTTCACCACCTCCTTGGACAACCTGTGCCAGTGCTTGGTCACCCACACAGTGACAAAGTGTCTCCTGATGTTCAGAGGGAACCTCCTGTGTTCCAGTTTGTGCCCGTTGCCTCCAGTCCTGACACTGGCCACCACTTGAAAAAGCTCTGTCTTCTTTGCACCCTCCCTGCAGGTATTTTTATCCATTGATGAGGTCTCCCTGAACCCTCTCCTCTCCAGTCTGAACCCCTCCCTCTCCTCCTGAACAGTCCCAGCTCCTTCAGCCTTTCCTCCTAGGAGAGGTGCTCCAGGCCCTTCATCATCTTCACAGCCCTTCACTGGGCTCTGTCCAGTATGTCCATGTCGCTCTTGTAGTGCCCAGGACTGGAAGGATCACCTCCCGTGACCTGCTGGCATCACTCCTCCCAGTGCACCCCAGGACACCATTCGCCTTCAGCGTGCCGCAAGGGCATGTTGCTGGTTCATGGTCAGCTTGGTGGCTACCAGGACCCCCAGGGCCACCTCTGCCAAGCTGCTTTCCAGCTGGGTGGCCCCAGCATGTCCTGGTGCCTGGGGCTGCTCCTCCCCAGAGGCAGGACTTGGCCCTTCCCCTTGCTGAACTTCACGAGGTCTCTCTCAGCCCATTTCTCCAGCCTGTCCAGGTCCCTCTGGATGGCAGCATGACCCTCTGGTGCACCAGCCACTGCTCCCAGTTTGGTGTCCTCTGCCAACTTGCTGAGGGTGCACCCTGCCCCATCATCCATGTCATTAATGAAGGTGTTAATCAGGATTGGACCCAGTATTGACCCCTAGACTACACCACTAGTTACTGGCCTCCAGCTAGACTTCATGCCACTGATGACCACCCTCCGGGTGCCCATGGTTGGTGCTTGGGAGCTGGATGGGCCATCCCGCACACCACCAACTCCCCTGCCCCGAGGCAGCCTCTACCTGCGATGGCGTGTGGGTCGGCCGAGTACTCCTGCACATCCACCACGCAGCAGTCCAGGGCGGCCTTGAGCTTCTTCAGCTTGGAGGCCGAGGGAGCCACTCGGAAGAGACCCTTCACAGAGGACACGGGAGAGCGTCAGACAAGCTTTGGGGCCGGTGATGTGCCCAAAGCCCCCCCAGTTCCTCGTCCCTGTCCTGGAGGCACCCACGTCCCCTTCCATCATGCCCAACCAGGGGTGGCAGGACGTGGGACCCACCTCCTCCTGCATGCCGCACTCCAGCAGCATGGTCACGCACGCCTCCACGGGGAAGGCGATCTCCCGCCCGCTGACGGCCAGGTGCTCCTCCAAAGGCTTCCCGAAGGAGGGCTTCTCCATCCATGCCTCTGTGATGGGCAGAGGGGGTGAGAGGAGGGGGAGGACATGGCAGGGATGGTGCTGGATCCGGCATCCCCTCCCCGAAAGGCCCTTGGATCACAATGTTTTGGCAGCAAAATATTCCATTTGGGTGTTGCTAAAATAACAGGACCCTGCACTTCTGTCCTGGGCACCTTGGGAAGTGCTTTTTAAAGATGAAATCCAAACAAAATGTTTTCCAATCATCACACGGGACATTTCAAAGGGGCTGGATAACGTTTTCCGGGGGGAGCAATCACGGGCAAACCTTTGCAATATATTCCCCTTCTTCCATCACAGTTTGAGGCAGGAATATTTTGTAGGATCAAGAGAAAAAAATAAAATACAAATCACTCCCTGCCCCGCTGCAGCGATGGCAGCACCCCGAGCCCTGCCCCGGGGAATGCGCTGCTCTCGGGGCCATCGCGCGGGGCTTTCCCCCACCTTGGTCTCCCAGCCCAGCTCCTACGGAGGTTGCACGCCGCAAAGCAAAGCCCCAAGACCGCCCCCCCCCCGCCTTGGTGCTGGGTTCCCACCCCCGGTGCTGCGCTCGATGGGGATATTCGGGCAGGTTCCCCCCGCTCCTCCATGAAGCTGGCCAGATCCTGCCCCTCGTGACCACGTGGGATGGGGATGCCCTCCCCAGCGCTGGGGCAGGTGGGATGCAGATGGGGTGAGCAAAGGGAGGACGCTCAGCCACAAACCCAGCACCACGCTGCGGGGTCACGCCGGAGCCGGCTCCTCATTGTGGCAAAGCCCCGCGTGGCTCCGGCATGACGCAGAGCGCTCGGCGTCGCATGCAGGAGCGGGACAGACCCCACGGCCACTTACCCTGCTGGGCTTTAATTTGAGGCAGGACATTCTGCAAAAGCGCTAAGGATTTCCGATGGTACTCTGCCTGCACCTCGATCAGCTGGGAGGGAGAGATGGCGCCGGCTGTCACCGCTACGGCCAGGGACGGGGACAGAGGAGTCCCGTGGGGATGGGTGGCACTTACGGTTTGAAAATAGTTTGCATAGTCTACTTCTTTGGCCACAAAATTGTACATGTCAGCCGAGAGCTGGTCCTGTGGAGAGCGGAGGATTAGTCACCATCCCACTCATGCTGCCCTGATGCCACCATGATGGCCCCTTCAGAGGCCACTGGGAGGGACCAGCTTGGTCACACCAGGAGCCAACAAGCAACATGGCACATTGCAGCACCCGCTTGATATGTGCTTGGGATGTCAAATATACAGCAGCACGGCGGGGGTTTGCTCTCTGCTGCCGTGCAAATGGTTCCACCCTCGCCCCCCCCTCCTTCCAGAGCCCACAATTAGCTGGCACCTTGCAACAAGCTCTCTGGAAGCGAGAGTTACTTGGAAACAACCTATCAGCCAAAGGCTGCACATCCCAGTGGGCTGAACGGCACAAATCCAGGCCAAATTAAACCCCAAGTTTGCCCGTCCCTGCCCCGTGCTGCATTGCAAGTGGCTCATTAACCACAGGGCAGCAAAGCAGCACGCACGGCTCGGCTGCCACGGGTAGCATCCCAACCGCTCGGTGCGGACCAGGCTGACGGAGCATTGGGTGCTTCTTGCTCTGAATTGCAACGAACCCCTCAGCACCAGGGCACGTGTCTCTCTGTCCTCGCACTCGCAAAACAGACATTGCTGCTTCCCCAATTGCTCCTTTCAGAAAATCCCCTTGGATAACTCAACTGGAGGAAAACCAGCAGGCTTTTAGAACGTTGCGAGCACATCCCGGTTGCAACATCCACCATCAGTATGGTGAATATACTGGGGGCCAGCTCCTGGCCCAGCTGGTTTGCTGGGAATTGCTGGGCGTGTGGGGCTGCCATGCTTCAAGATGGGGGGAGACAGCACAAGTTTGAGACCGGATTTTAAAGGCTATACAGGTTCTGGTTGTGTCCCTGGAGAAAAGAGCCAGGATTGGAGACACACACCCAGCTACAGCTCCTGCCCAAAACCTATAGCGCAAGGTTCACTCAGCCCTTTGCATTTTCTGCCTCTGGGGAATTTAAAGCCATGCGAAATTGCCTGCAGATTTCATTGCTGAATCCCGTGGCCCATGACAAAGGTTCTGACAGCAACATCCCGCCTTGCTCAGACACTTTTCCCACCCAACATGACCGGCTGGGTGGGTCATGCTCCTGAGGGATGGTGGGGGGTGACATGGCTGGCTGGTACACACGGGCTTGGCATGTGCCGGTGCTTCCTGCAGGTCTCTGTGCCAGGGATGGGTTTACTTGGTGCTGAGCTTGCTGGCTTCTGCCAGGATAGGTTCCCTGGGAACAGGATGCTCTCCGGCTCCAGCGGGATATGGAGGATGGGGATAGGGGAACTGGGGACGTCCTGCTTGGCTGGTGAGCATCACCCACTGCCACCAGGCTGCGTTTGGGCATGGGGACCAGCCGGAGGAGTGTTTATCACAGGCAATGGGGTAAGAAGAGGGTGAAGAACGGGGTAAGAGGAAAGACTGCAGGTTTTCGATGGTGCCTGGGATGTCAAGGTCCCCCCTCCCCAGCGATCCCCCCGGGATCCCCGAGTACCCTGCAGATCTCCACTCTGTTGGCCGCCTCCTCCATCTCCTCCCTGAGAGCATCGGCTTTGGCACCTGAGGGCTGCAGGTTGCTGGCCAAACCCGAGGACTTTGCGGACTGCTGCCACCTGCAGAGAGAGGGCAGAGCTGTCACAGGGAGGGATGGGGACGCGCACAGAGCAGTGGCTGGATCCCAGCGGACTTGGAGAGCAGCCCAGGGACTTCCCTCAGCCAAGCCTACCATGGTCCCCAGGGCTGAGCACCATGGAGATGGTCTCAACCCAGGCTGGGATGCAGCATCCACTCCAAACCCTGAACATCCCCAGTCCCCACAATTGGCTGCACACACTAGGCTATAATTAAGAAATTATTTTCAGCAGGAGAACGAGCCTCATCCAGGTGACAGGAGAGAGGAAGGTGATGGGAGAGCCTGGATATGATGTTGGGGACTACAGACACCTGCCAAACCTCTCTGCAGGGCGATGTGTGGGGCTTGGCCAACTCAACGGCCTCAGGCAAAACCCAAAGCACAGCCTGCCGGGTCCCACCACAGCGTCTGGGACACAGGATGATCCACAGGGTCATCCCAGCTCCACCCCAGCACTACTCTACAGTGGTAGGAGCACCTGGCTCTTTGCAGTCACATAAGAACTCAGAAAGATAGGGAGAAGAGGAAAACAATAAAGATTTGTGCCAGGAAAAAATACTCCTTTCTGCAGAGGGCAGGCAAGAAAAAGGGCTCTACAGATTCTGCAGACAAGTAGAAATCGTGGGTCATTGCAGAGCTTGACTTCAAGGCACACAGTGACATGGCTGAGACTTATTGTCCCAAGGGAGCCACAGTACCAGGGCTCTGGGACGTGTCCTCCACAGTGCTACCTATCACTTGGGAATTTTTATTTTTTACAAAGCAGCTTTGAAGCCACTCCCTACCGTGTCCTGGAGGAGTCCATGTCCAGCACAAGCTTCGCCAAGTGCTTCCTCTGCTTTTGGATATTCGGGATTTCCACCTGCAAGCCGGGTGGATAAGGATGCAACTCCTTATTTTAACATCATTAGGGAGATGGGACAGCTCGTCCCTCCTCTGTGTCCCCACCTGGGCTGTGCCACCCCCTGCCAGCCCCGACTGCAGAACCCACATCCCTGAGAGGAGCATCCTTGGGGGAGCAAAGCTCCCTGCATTAGGGAACTGGATGAAGGCAGGAAAAGGGCTTTTGGGGATGGCAATGCAAAGCCTCCCACGCACGGGCACCGTTTGCCAAAGGATTTGGTAACAGCTGAAAGCCCCGAACACCAGCGGTGTGATAAGGCTCTTGTTTCTGCTGGGGAAGATAAAATCAGAACCAAGGCCAGGACATTTTGCTAGATGTAAAAAGGGGGAAAAAAACCCCGAGTAAAATTGAAAACCAAAGTTGGCAGCAGTGGGGAAAAGGAGGAAAAAAAAATCCCAAACAACAATGGTATGTGTTTGGAGCTTGGAAAAATGGGTCAGAAATGAGCATGTTAACACCTCTGCATTCAGGAAAGGCAGAAAAGAGCAAGAGCAGCGAGAGCGGGCAAAAGAGCCTGGCAGGACCACGGCCCCAGCAGCCAGCCCAGCTGAACGTGCAAATACCACCTGCCAATTAAAGCAATTAGCAAACATCTCAAAGACGGAAGGTCCCTTGCAGGGGCCGGGAACCAAATACGCCGCCTAAGCGGTGAAACCCTGCCTTCCTCCAGGGCTTGTTTCAGATGTGAGTCCCCGGCACGGTGACACCCCAACGTCCCTGCTCACCTCAGCCAGCACGAAGAGGGGCTCGATGACGTCCCTCTCCACCTGCAGCTCGAAGTGGATGAGCTCCTGAGCCAGCTTGTCCTCTGCCTCTCCGCACAGCCGCAGCATCTTCCTGCAAGGGTACCGGCAGGGCTGGGCACCGGGCGGCTGGGGGGAGCCACGGGCAGCCATCCTGCACCCACGGGGGTGGGTGATGGTCACCAAAACCCCTGGGGGTCTCAGCAGCGGCATGGGGCAGCCCCTCCCTGGCAGAGGGCTGGAGGGAGGGCGGCAGCCCAGGGACTGTGGGCACTCTGGGTGTTAGGAAAATCTCATTCCCTAGCTATCGTACCAATTATAGTCTGAAATTGTATGGACTTTCGGAAGAGAGGGATACAGTTTACATTGTTCGCTGTGTGACTGAAGGACCCCAGCTCATCACAAGGAGAATAATAAGGGAAACCTCTGGACTACTGATATCACGCGAGCATCCCAGCCCTTCCAACACCACTGTGAACCCCGCCGATGTTATCTGGCATCATAGATAAGGAACCGCAGCAATTCCCGGCAGCGGCATCCTGGCACCCCTGCAGCATCCCGGCAGTGGCAGAGTGCCCGGGGAGACCCGGGCCCCCCTTACCCCAGCAGGGAGTCATCCCCCAGCACAGCCGATCCCTCCATCAAGCACTGCGCCAGCGTCGTCAGCGGCAGCTTCTTCTGCAAAGAGAGGGCTGCGTTTCCCACCCCGCCGCCGCTGGCAGCCCGCCCGGCATCCTCAGAGCCCTGCCAAAGCCTCACCGAGCGCTTGTCGGCGTCCACACCTTGCTGGCCCTGCAGACATGCCGTCAGCTTCTTGTGGGTGCTGTGGGAGACCTGCTTCACCAGCTCCAGACGCTTCTCCACCTGTGGATGCAGTGGCGCCCATCACCGGGGTATCCCACCTGGTCCCGCACCCACCATGCAGGGACCTAAGGGACCTCTCACTTTTCAGTGAAAGCAAGTTTAATTGCTGCTGCAAGGGATGCAACAGCCCCGGAGCCCAACCCCTTCCCAGGGCAGGGATGCGTGAAGCAAGAGAAGGTTTTACCAGGCTGGTGCTGCCCCATCTTAACCCCCTGAGCAAGGCTGAGGGCTGGATCCAGACCAGCCTCCAAAGCCCTTGTGTCCCTGGGTGAGGGCAGGAGGTGTCTGGCCCCAGCTGAGCCCTGCCACAAACCAAACTGGCCGATACTCTAACCTGGGGCTGAAGATTCCCTTATTTGCCTCTGCATTGATTAAATTAAGCAGTTCATCCCAAAACTCAGCGAGATGAGTCATTAAATGTAAGCAACCAAGATCTGCTGAAAACCAAAGCTCAGAGATGCAGGGAAAACATGGACATCTCAAAATTTGGGGAAATAATCTGGAAAAAGAGAAATATTCCCTAAAGCTGAAAATCTTGGGAAATTATCTGGGGAAAAAAAAGAAATACTCCCTGCCTGGGAGAAGCGCTGATCCTGCAGTGAGCCTGTGAGGCAGGAGGCATCTCACGGGAGCCTGGTACTCAAGCTGAGCTGCCCTTCACCACTATTATAATATATATATACACATATATATATATATGTATTTTAAAAAAATAGATCTCCATGATGCTTGGCTGAGGTAGAACAGATTCTGCCATCCCTGCAACATATACATGTTCCTTTCAACATATACACAGATGTATACACAAATACACATATACGCGTGTGTATATATATTAATTACGTATATAAAAATTACACAAATTATATATATATATACACACACACACACATCCGTGTATATGTTGAAAGGAAGGGGTATGATGTTCAGAAGGGCACGTATGTGGGTGCACACCCATCTACATGAGCCAAACTGGAGGCAATTAGATACAACGCTGGGAAGGGTTTGGTTTTGGGTTCCCCACCATCCCTGGAGACAGACCCCCATGAACTTGACTGACTCTTTGGGAGACACCCACACGAGGTGGCACCGGCCATCCTCCCCACTGAATTATCTCCAAAAGGTGTAAAAATCACCCGTGCAATGCCAGGTGTGCCCTCAACGGTGCTGGCACAGATGCTACCTAGTGCCGGGATGTCACCGGATGGCTCTAAGAGCAGGGTCTTGGTCTCAGTGCCAAGGGGCCATGGAGACCTCAGAGCTTGCAAGGAGGAACACCAGAAGTTAAACTAGAAAGAAAAAAGGTTCATTATTGATGTTCCCTCTGGCTGCTGGTGGCAGGGAGCCCTCAGCTCCCCTCTGGCCCATCCTACCGGGGCTGTCCATCCCTGGGGACAGCGGAGCACGTCACCGCCACACCCTGCCCGTCCCTGCCACCAGCACCGGCAGTGAAAAAAGGGAAAAAAACCCCAAATCCCGAAGGCTGGAGACCGACTCGCAGGGGTGCATACTGCAAGGACGGTGCTGTTGAACAGCAAACCAACCCACCAACACCCCAGGAGCCTGCACGGCCGCTTCCACCAGCGATTTCTCACTGGTGCCAGTGCAAAAGGATTAACTGAGGCAGGCGGCTGCCCTCTGTGCCCAGCAGGGACGTTTGCAAACAGCTTCATTTCACTCTCTTCCAGCACAGTCTCCTTACTTCCTCACTCAAACCCTGCTCTGATTTTTGACTAACACACGGCTCTTGCTAAAGCCTGATGTGTGCAGGGAGCAGCGTCATTAGGGGCAAGTGAGGGCAACATGTAGGCAGGACACGGTGGCAGAAAGAGCTAAAGGTCACTCTGCAGCCACCGTCACCTGCAGGTTGTTGCCTCCTGCCACCAGCATCCTTGCACACCAGTTCTCTGGCTGTTTCTGCAGAATCTGCTAACTGAGAGCAATGGCACAGACCAAATTCGCAAGCTGGAAGGTATAAATACATCAGCTTACACCCGAAAGAGGTTTTCAAGTGGCTCCAACAGCAGCCAGACTGGCTGACGCCAGGGGATGCCCGCACTGTGATGGAGGAGGAGCTGGGCAGCTGTTTTGCTCCTCAGTGCCCAAGTGTGACGATTTAGAGAATGTGTGAGTTAGAAACCTTATGAATTCAGTGATGGATTTGTGAATTTACGTCCCTTTGCTGGCAATTCCTCAGCCGCTTCCCTCCCTGGGGCATGCAGGAAGCCCTGCTCTGGGAGCAAAAAGCACCAAGATGAGATGTCCCCGAGAGACTGTGACCCGAGCATCACAGCCGATGCTCCAAGGCACCACGTGAGGTTTTTGGCTCAGCGCTCTTTTGCTGAAGTTGTCCAACCCATCAGCTTTGGGGACTGTCCCCTGCTGTCACGTGGCCTGTCCCCAGGGCAGGTTTTGCAGTAGAGAGGGGAGATGCAGGTGTCCGCAATCCGGCTGGCCGTATCAGGTTGCCATCCTGGCGGAGACGAGACTGGATCCGATTCCAGCTGACCTGAAAACCAGGCTGGGAAAGGGCTGGGAGGGTGCACGGGAGGGAGACGATGCCGCTTCCCACGCTTCCAACCCTCTCCTCCTCCTCCCAGCCCGTCTCATCACCGCAGGACACCGCGGCACCGACTGGCACAGAGCTGCTGCTGCCACATCCAGCACCCACGGGTGGGTGCCTGGGCACCCACAGGCACCCTGGGTGTGGATCAGACCAGCTGCAGAGGACCTCACCTGCAGGAGATCTTCGCTCAAAACCTCTGTCTTCTCAGCCCTGCAAGACAAGAAAGAACATAAAGTGCTGGCGAAGGGTCTGGCACATGTGGCAGAGACGGGGCTGCACGCCATGGTACTGGGCACAGCTGAACATGCTTTTCCATCGGGATGCAGCCGGTGATTTAAGGCTCCCTGGTCCCACCAGCCATTGCCTCATCTAAATAAGCAAAGGATGGAGCATCTTCACGGCTCGCTGTGAGCGTGCCATGTCCCACACCAATTTAGGGTCCTGGTCTCCCCCTTATTTCTCCATTATCCACAGCAAAACAGGGACGCTAAATTCCCAGGAGGATGCGGGCAGTGCTGCGCAGGGAGGCGGTGCGTCTATGCAAGAAAGCAGCTCCCTGGGCCGTGCCGGGCTCTGGCACACCCTCAGTGCCGTGGATTTCAAGGACACAACCCGTCCGCACGACTGAGCCTCCTCGGTCCGACGCAGCCGACTGAATCTGCAGCGGCAGCTGCTGCCCGCGGCTTCGCCGTAACCCTCCCCGCTGCTCGTCGGAGCCGGATTTACCGCTCCAGAGCGCGTGTCATCTGCTGTCTTTGCTAGCGAGGAGCGCCGGGGATGCAGAAGGAGACACAAACCCGCTGCAAGACCCTCCTCAGCCACGCAAGGACCCACAGCATCCCTGCCTGCAAAGCCCCTGTGGCCACTCCTCACCAGATCTGCTCAGACTTATTTAAACCATCACACTCTGGATCATTTATTCATTTTCTTCAGGGTTTTTTACAACTTCAGTGCATCATCTCTCTTTGAAAAATGACCTCCTTCAAGATGCGCGTGGGCAGAGTTGTGATTTAGCCAATTAGTCCCTAAAGGTTTGTTAACAACAAAAGCTCGGTGCCCTTATCCTTCTTAAAAAAATACCTTTATTGCCTGAGCCCTGGTTGCTTTCTGCTATCCAAGCTGGTTTCTCAGCTTTGAGAGACTGAGTGAAGTATTGAAAAAGCAGAAATAAGGAATAAGCACCAGCAGAGCAAGGTTCAAAGAGCAAGCACGGCATGGCAGCAGCACCAGCTAGGGCAGGGCTTGGTCTATGGGTTCATCTGCAAATACACCATGTCCAAAGACTTTTAAAAAGTGCAAATTAACTGCATTAAATCTGGTTTGTGTATGAAAGTTGTCCCAGTGTCTGATTTAAGTTGGTTTTAAAAACAAAAAAAACCCAAACCCTATTTAATTTTTTAAAAAGGGGATTTAAATGAAAGCATTATAATATCTTCTATATGAAATGCAAGCGATGCGCTGGTCACCCGGGAGCAAGGGCTCCTCAGGTTGTCCTCCTCTTCTCCAAATCACCTTCGCTATCATTTTTGGACAGGGTTGGAAACGCTGCAGAATTAGCACAAATGGGGAAGAAAGCAACAAATATCCACCAGCACAGACACAACAGCCGTCCCCGCTTCCCTGCCCTGGCTCAGGATATATTTAGCATCCCAAAGGAGAAGGAGGTGGCAGGGATGCAGGCGAGCATCATGCACTCACGTGCAGGCACCGCTGGTGCACATCCCTGCCGCTCACTGTGCGCCCCAGAAATTATCTCCAAACTTTAAAAAAAGGTTGGGGGAGAAAGAAGTCCCTCCTGTCCTTGTACCATTGGGAAAATGCTCCCCCCAAAGTGATGTTTTTAGGGTGTTTTCTCCTCTTCCAGCCAGGCTGATAGATGAGTTTTGCACACCCCATGGTCCCACGCTGGCAGGTCTCTCTCCCAGCAGCCACAAACCAACACGTGCTACGCTCTGACGTGCATTTGGGAAGCAGAAAACGATATTTCAAACAGGATAACAAAAATCTGGCCTTGCTCTGCTTTTCAGCATAGCCTCAGCGCAAGAAACTTCAGTGGCTTTAACAGAGAGCATCCCCCAGCCACAGCTCCGGCACAGACACCCGTGCCAGCCCTGCCGCATCCTGGGATGCTTAAGCAGGTAGGAGACCCTGCCAGTGACTAATTTGGCTTTAAAAAGGAGGGGGGGAAAGGCCGCAGCATTTTATGTATAGGAATAAGCAAAGAGGCTGTTGGGAGTCGCTTGACACAGCTGCCCAAGGATGCAGCAGAGTGATGGGCATGCCGTGGGAGCACGGGTTTCCCCACCTGGCATTGGCATCTGTGGGAGCTGGGATGCTTTCTCCTCCCTTCTGGCTTGCAATGGGGATGGGGGTCTCTGTGTGGCCTTGGGGACACGCTGCAGCCACCGGTGGTGGCACAGGCATGTGGCAGGGCTGCGGCGGACTGGCATCGCTCATGGTGGTTGGAGCCAGGTACCACCACGTCCTGCCAGCACCGAGTGCTGGCACCCTGCTCCCACACCTTGGCTTGCAGAATGGGGTAAAACGCATCCCCAGAAGCCACCACAGGGTGTTTTTGCAAAGCCAAAGCAGGGGACAAGTCTCCTGCCTCAGGACACCTGGACTCTACAGGTGATGCCACCAGCAGCCACAGCAAAGAGCTCCCGCAGGAGAGCCCGGTCCTGTGGATGTACCGGGGCAGCAACCTGGCTGCAGCTCCGTCAAATGTGGTTTATCAGCTGCAAATGGGACAGATCCTGCTCCTGTACATATGCACTGTCCTGCTGACAATGTGGCTCTGCTGCTGTCCTGCCACCCCACCTAAAGCTCCTTATTAATTTTCCAGAATGCACCAAAAAAATACAAATAATTCCTCTTGTCTCTGTACTTGCTCCCACTGGCAAATTATATCCAGGAGCACGAGAACCGAGCGGCGCCTCCAAACCCACAGAAAGCCCAGCCCAAGCCGCTCCACATAGCCATTTTACATGTAAAGACTAAAAAATAACATCATCCTACTCCACTGACATCGCATTGCATTACAGCTCTGTGCTGTTAATGCCACCAGGAAGAATCCCATTATATCCGTTATGTTTCTAAAGTCTCAGCCTAAAGTTAATACGGTTTTACAGGAGCTTATATGGTTTTATGAGCCATCCTGTGAACCTGCAGCAAGAAATGCTTTGTGCAAAATGCACATCCTCCCAGGGAGCAGCCAGGAAGATGGACGCTCTCCTGTACGCCCCGGGCTCCATCGTGCCTGGGGGGTACTTTTTGGGTGCTGCGCCCTTGTCAGCACTTAGAGATGCTCAAGGAGACCCTGGTGCCCCAATGCCACCTCCCCAGTACCCAGGGATTTCCCCAAGGCACTCGGCGGGGATGGAGAAATATTATGCTGCTGCCTTTTCTGGGAGTGGGATGGCAGCACCTCTCTCAGGATCTTGGCAAAGCATCTTCAGCAGGCTCAGCCCTGAGCATCTCCGCTCACCCCTTCCTTTTCAACAAACATTTTTGGTTTGTGCTTTCTTCTCCCTCCACATATCGTGCTCCAATTAGCATGCCACTTGAGGACAGGTGTGGGTCCCCATGCCTCCCCAAGCTCTCTCGCCTTGGCTTCCCATCCCCAGAGAGAACCGCTTGCCAAAACCCTTGGGATTCAGGAGCCCCAGCTCCCAGTTTGCTCTCAAGCGCTTAGTTCAGACCATGTGGAACGTTGGAGCCCAGACCATAAAGTTGCTTCCGAAACTGCAACCCTACAGAAATCCATTAACAGCATCAAGAGGAACCAGTTTGGATGTGACTGATGCTGGAAAACTTGTCTGGCTCCAGCAGAGATGCTCTCCCTGTTCCAGCCTGGCATCTTACTCCCATCCAAGCAATCCCCCAGGTCCTCCAGTCCATCCCCAGCACCCCCCAGTTCAGCCCCAGCACTGACCCCATCCATCCCCATCATCCCCCAGCCCCTCTTGGTACCCCCCAGTTCCTGCCCAGTGCCCCCAATCCACCCCAGCACCCCCACCCCCTCCTGGCACCCCCAGTCCCCCTCCTTGCTCCACTGCTGGTTCTGTACAAGCAGTCAGAGCCGAGCAGTGATGAAGCTCCCTGGGGGGGGTCGCACAGATCCCAAATTCCGCCTCTGCCATAGCAGTGACGGCCGTCCCAAGCCCAGGGGACCCCAGGACCTGCTCCCTGCCCGTGCTGCTCCAGCCACACATGAGAGGCAGCCGAGCTCCTGCCTGCACAAACCCATCTCCTTCCCAAATCATCATTGTGCCTGAAGGAATTCCTGGGGGTGCCAGGGCCCCCGTGGTGGGGAGGCAGAGGGACACAGGCTCCCACACCGTGGAGCAGCTGGGGGGCTACATCATCTCCCCCTTCCTCACGCCCTGTCAGGGTTCAGGGCCCATCTGTGCTTAGCCCGTAACTCCTGACACATGAACGATGCTCAAGGGTCTGACATGTGCAGCAGAGCCCCGGGAAGCAGCTATCCAGTGGCTGGAGCATCCCATGGCCTAACCATCAGAGCAGGCAACTGGTGGCACCAGCAAAGCATCTCCTCTACGCACCAGTTTAAGCCAGTATCAGCTTTCGGCAATTCTCTTCACCCATTCATTTTTACGTGCGTCTTTCTATCCCCGTGTCTCACAAAGCGGATGCAGCCAGGCTTCCCACGCTCGGACATGACCTGCCCCGGGGAACCAGAGACAGTGGTTTTTGCTCATGCAAGGTGGCCTCAGCAAACAACAGCACCCAAAAGAGGGGTGCAGGGACCCCCCAATTTCCCTGGCTTGTCCCTAATCCCCCCAGACTTCATGCCTTACAAGTTACATGCATCCTGCTGGAGCATCCCTCGGAGAGGCAGCCAGGATTACCGGCTTTCAACACTTTCTTTCATCTTTCCTTTAGGCAAATAAAAACCCACTCCTCCCCTTCCCCTCCAGATTTCCACCCTGGAGCTGATTTTCTCAGCACAAATCCAGGCAATCCGCAGCCTCAATCAGCACCCAGACACTCGCATCCCTGCAAACAACTGGGAGAAAAGGCACAATTAATATGGAGAGTTAAAAGCAAATGAGCAGGAGATGCAGCTACAACTTGGTCGGGTGTTCACTTCTGCAAAAACTAATTGCTGCCGGCAGAAATCAACACCAATCAAGCAAACTAAGTTGATTTCCAAATAAACCCTGTGGCTTCCAGTGCCTTGATGTGAG